ATACAGGTCATATGTCAATCTCTTCTCCGTCTGCCACCCTCTTTTATTTTTCCAACATCAGATTCATTTATCTTAAGGTCTGATGAAGTTAATTTTCATGTATCCACATTATAAACCAGACTAATAATCCAAAGAACATATAAAACATGTAAGACAATTGTACTGTCAATGTATGCATTTAGACACATTGCCCATGCTGGATTAAATACCTTTTTTCTTTCTCTTTTTTCCTATTATTTGTCTTTTATTTCATATTACACATATATTGAGTTTTTGTATAAGAGAGACTATGTGATATTTGAGCTTCAGTGTGCATGCACTTTTCAACATGCCTCCCCTCAGAGCTAGAGCTTAGCCCCTCTCTCCTTGAATGTTAATTTGAATACAGTTATTTTGTTTTGAGATGGTTTCACTATGTAGTTCAGGCAGGCCTCAAACTCCCAGCTATCCTCCTGCCTCAGCTTCCTGAGTGCAGGGATTACCTGTGTGGGCCACTACACCCAGCTAAGTGCAGTTGCTTTTAACAAATAGAACATGGCAGAGGCAAGGGCTGGCCTTTCTGAAGTTAGGTCACTCAGAGATTGTGGCCTCTTTGGGGGGTACCTGCTGTCTCATTCTGTCAGATCACTTGCTCTGGGGGAGTCATGTGGCTATGGCAAGGGACTGACAGGCACCAACAGCATTGGAAGGTGACCTTACCTCCTCCACTCAACTCAAACCCAGCCTCCTGAGGACCCTACAACTTTGACTGACAACTGAGCTGGCAACTTCTGAAGACCATATATTACTAAACCATGGCTACATTTACGTCCCCAAGAGCTATGAGATAATCATTGTTTTAACAGCTAGATTGTGGCATAACTTGTCATGCAACAACAGGTAACTAACAGAGAATTAAGTGAGCGAGGTGGTGCACACCTATAATTTCCCCTTTGGGAGGTTGAGACAGCAGGATTGTTATGAGTTCAAGTCCAACCTTGACTACAAGGTAAATTTTGGCCAGCCTGAACTAGATATCAAGACACTGTCTCGAAAAGCAAAACCAAACCAAACAGACAGAGAATAGAAACTAGAGCATTGATTGATGCATTGGGTGCCAGGACCTGTGTAGAAAAGGACAGATAGAAGATGTGTAGATTTGGAACAGCTACATAGTAGCAGCACCAGTTATTGGGGAGAACTTGGGAACATAACAAGTCAGGGAGGGGGACTGAAAGTTCTTCTTTGGACAACTTTTCAAGAGACAATTAGTCATCCAGGTTGGCATGTCAGTGAGGCAGCCTGCTGAGTCCTGCCCAAGTTCCAAAACCATTGTTTAGGAGCAAGACAGTGTCTGGGAAGCCCTTTTAGTTTTCTGTACTCTCTATTATCTATTCTAATGTGCTTTGTGCTCTTTCGTATAGAATTTGTCTAATTAAACCACTCCTTGTATCCAACTTACCAAATTCAGTGGTTCCTTCTCTGTCTTAATCATATTCACTCATCACCACTCCCTTTCTTCAAATACTGCCCTAACTCCAGCAGGGCTGCACATGTGCAACGCAGGCAAGCACCACCTGAGCCCCAGCCCCAGCCCAGGCGCACTACCCTAACCCTAGCACTCGCGCTGTCCTAGCATTTGTGCACACCCGAGGGCTACACATCACTGACGCCTTTGGATACCTGCGCTGGAATTTAAGCTTGGGGGAGACTTTCGCTGTCTGCTCGCTATTAGAGCCACACCTGCAGGTGGGAGATTCAGCTGGGCCGCAGAAAGGACTGAACGCGCAGAGGAACGACACGCTTGCGCGAGCCGCAAGGTCAGAAACAGCGCTGAGGATGGGAGCCAGGTGCAGCCCAGAAGTGGACGGTGACACGTGCTGAAGCGGCAGCCCAGGAGGAGAGAGTGGAAGCGCAAGGGTTCCAGCCGCGGTCGTCTGGGCCGTGCGGTGCTCAAGTTACTTTGCAGTTTGGGCCGCTCCGATTAGGGCCTTTTGGGCGCCAAGGGAGCGAGCGTCAGCGCGGAGGCCGCTGCCTTGCCACGGTGGGTGTTTCCTCCAACTCGCTCGACCTGCGCTGCCTGATGGGTCCTGGGCACCCGTTCTCAGTCTTCTCTCTTTGAAGTTTCAGGGTGCAGAAAGAGACCCTGCTCGAGCGCAGGCCAGGGGAGCCAGGCGGGGCGGGGCGGCCCGGATCCGGGGCGGGGCGCAGAGTCAGGTCCGAGCCGTCGGTCGCGCCGCCGCCGCCGCCGCCCGTTGCGCTCCTGGCCCTCGCGCGCCGCGCCCTCGGTTCCTGCAGCGCCCTCGGTGCCCGCGGTGCTCCCGGCGCCCCAGCGCCATGGCGAAGCTGCTGCTGCTCACCCTCGTGGGGCTGGCGCTGGCCCTCCTCAGGGACTACCGCTCTTCCTACCAGTAAGTTGGGGCGAGGTGAGGGCGCCCCGCTAGTGCCCGCGCCGGGAGCGCAGCCGCCCCAAAGCAGGGTCCAGGCGGGTGCTGGGTTCACGGCCCGCTGGGGCTTTCTTAGGTGTCTGCCCAGTTTCGGTCCTGCTTTAAGGAACCCTGAGAGAGGTGCGGATGGCAGCTGTCAGTGTTACGAGGAGCCAAGGCGTCAGCACACAGAAACATGCGTGCGGAGACGCTGTGTGCGCCGGCTGCAGGCCCATTTCTCAGGCTGACTGAGGAAACCCAGTCCCCAGCCCAGGCTCCCGGTGTCCAGGGGTCTCGGGATTGGAAGCTCCAAGCTCCAGTGTGCGCTGTCTAGTTGTGACACACACCTTCCAGATGCAAGAAGAATCTTGATCTGAAGCCACGCTGGGGGGGCAGAAGACCCGCAGGCGGCCGCCTAGGAGAAGATGTCCACGGCCGGGGAGCGCCGGTGGGGAGGAGACAAGCCCTGGCGCCTGCGCTTGGTGACCCACCCTTGGCTCTTCCCTTAAGTGTGGGATTGGGGGCAAATCATGTTTATGTCAAAGAATTAGTGCTTTAAAGAAAAATGCTTTAGTTAAGTGGGAACAGTCATACACAGGCATATAGGAAGCACCTAATTCGGCCGAGGGGATTGGTAGTTGTGCAACAAACATTGCTTTGCTGCTTCCCTTCAAAATACTGCAGAACCTGCTAGAGTGCTGGAGTGGGAGAGAATGTTTTAAGAACGTATCAAAAGTTTCATCGTAACTTTTTTAGGAGTTCAAAGTCTAGAGATCATCCAGCAAGATTTAGTCAACAATGTTATTTATTCTGAAGTCAAACATTAATACAGATGCAACATGTAGGATTTTTTTTAAAATTATGTGCTCTTGTGGTCTAATCAGAAGCTTTCATTGAGCATAGGGTTTTAACCCATGGTTATGGTTTTTCTCTTCTAACTATTTTGAAATAACAGAAGCAAGCAGTTAATGATTTAGGCTTTTACATGATGGGAAAGGTACTGTGAATTTGCATCCATCACAGTACTGTTTGTTGTCAGGAGAGATTATACAGAGGGGTGAAAGATGCGGACAGAGCCTTCTGGAGTGGCCCGCCCAGAGGTGGGAAGGGAAACCAGCCCACTGCAGGGAAGCAGAAACACCTTGCAACTGGGAAGGGTCTGTAGGCTGGCCGCTCCAGGAGTAGCCAGGGATCCCTCCTCAGGTACAACCTCAGCTCCCACCGGACACTACTGAACCTGGTCAGCCTTACTCTGCAGATTCCAGAGAGGACTGATACGCAGCTCTGTAAAGGACATTTACATTCTGCTGTCACTCATGTTAGAACCAGAACAAAATGTCCCAGATGATCAAAACCTAACCTTTATTCCCCTTTCAAAGAGAAGCATCTACCTTTCAGGGAAGATCAGGAGTCTTCCCAGGGGAAAGAAGAGAAACAAAGCCAGGTCTGACCGTAGCCTCTGATCCACAGAGGTGGGCAGATGTGTGGCAGGGTTTTCAGAGGAAGTTACTGGGCCCAGGCTGGCCGGAGCTTGGGGGACACTCAGAACAGGTGTCTGGAGGGCTTTTCTGAGCTGGGGAGGCGCAGGCAGCAGAGAGAAAGGGTTGAGAAGCTTCCCTGAGCCCCTGCTCCTGTCACCCTTGCCGTCATCCAGCCTTCTGCAGTGGCATCTGCTGTACCAGCCCTGAGAAGGTCTGGGACAACAGCACCCTCTGGATGTGACACATGGGGCCCCGCATGGTCGCCTTCCTAAGTTTCCCACCATGATGCAGAGACCACTGTGTTCCTCTTTTCTACAAGGAAGGCACAATGCCGGCCTGGCTGTACCCTGCATCGCTGCCATCAGCTCCCACTCTGGGCAACACCCTGTGTGGGCAGAGGGGTGTGTGGCGGATTCTCGATCATCCCCTGGCTCAGGTCACATTGCTCCAACGTTTAAATTATTTTACCACTGCTCAGCTTAGGTTTCTATCTCGATAACCCCACAGAGCCTGATAGGTGGGGCATGAGATTTACGAGTGGATTGGTCCACTCATGGGTTTACAGCTAAACATGACACTGGAAGGTAAAGCCTGGTCAGAAGAGGTGGGTCCCTGGGGATGTGGCTGGGAAGGGAGTGTTTCTTTCCTTGTTCCCTTAGCGGATCCCTGCTTCCCACCGCCATGCCATGGACTTTTTCTCCTCTGAGATACCCCTCTGCCATGCCACCCTGCTTTGAAGGCAGATGATTCCACAAACTGTGAGCCAAGTAAACCTTTCCTCCTTTAAGGACCACTTTACCCCGAGAAAGTCTTCAGTCTTGTTCTCTCCCTGAAAACTGTGGGATAATCATGCATGTCACAAGGAGAGCTGTACAAATCTGGCACCTCATAGGTGTCCTCTAATTGTTTATTTTGTAATTGACAAAGGAGATCTCAAAAACTCGCTTGATTATACTTATACCTCGTTGAAACCATAGGACAAGGGTGAATAACCCTCCCAGCCTCAGTTTCCCCAGCCAGTGCATACACAGCACCTTCACAGTCTGATGCTTGAGCCTGTAGTGCCACCAAGCAAGCCATGGACACCTCCAGAGCCTCCTCCCTTTGCAAACACCCTGTTCCTTCAGGAACTTACTGGAATCATCAGGATGCAGTTTGCACTCCCCAGTGCAGTGTACAAGGAGTAATGGGACCAAAAGCTGCAGCTAAAACTGCAGGGCGAGAGCCTTGATGGGGGTGGTACATATGTGAAGTGTCCTGAGGGTGAACGAAGAGTTAGGGAAGATCAGGCAAAGCTGCAGCAAGTTAAGGAGGGTCCTCTCCACGGAGGAGAAGACATTCCAGATGGAGAGGAAATCCGAGGCAAGGAAAAGGGAATGAATGGAGACACCAGGAGGAGAGCCCTTGCCATCATGAAATCTAATTTCAAATCCCAACTTTACCTTTTTAAATAAGAGACCATTTGGAAATGAGTGTTTTCTTACCCATAAAACAAGGAAAATGAGAATTTGTCTCAGAGGTGGCTAAGGAGGATTAAAGGAGAAAGTATGTGGGAGACCCTTAGCATGGAGCCTGGCCCTCGGGAGGAACAGGGAGTGAAGGCACCAGGAGGGTAACAGAAGCTTGACTACATGGGTGCAGGTGGCTCAAAGTTTCAGAACGACTTCTAGGGGCACAGTACGCTCTCTGGCAGGAGCCGGCATGTGTTTGCCCAGGACGGTCCACAGTAAGGTGGTGTGATTTCTGCACAGAGCCCAGAGGCTTGGGGACGCATCTCACTGAATTTCATCTCTCGGGCCTGAAGTGGTCGAACTCCTTCAAGCCCCTGACAAAATACTTCCTGATAATTTGAGACTAGGTAGAAAAATAAGCACTGGATAAAGTAGCATGGTAGCAAGTGCCTTTTTCAACTGTCAAGCAATGTTATTCATACATTTTGCCTTATTAGAGCATTCAGTTGGAGACTTGCATTCCTATTGACTTCCAATCCCAGCTTAGCCACTTCATAATTATGTGGCTTAATCTTAGAAGCCCTCTTAATCTTAGTCATCTGTAATTAGGGAGAACAATGCCTCTAGGAGGTGTTTGGAGGTTAAATGAAAGTATGCACAGCACCTGAACTACAGGGTCAAAGCCAGTCCGTTGAAATATGACTTGCGTGGGACATGAATTAGAACTGAGAGCAACTGGGTGCAGACTTAATGCAGATTTTGCCTAGCCAGGACCCCATTCACTGTGAATATTCTATCTTTATAGGTTAGAGATCATCTTGTAGGAGATAGATGCATGAATTACAGCAAGACCCCCACAATTCTGCCTTGCTCTGTGCATCATAAATAGGTCACATTTAAAGAGCCTTATGAACTAGGCAGTGGGCTTGTCTTCCCTGTGGTTCTGAGTGTGGGAGGATATGCCAATTTGGTTATTTGGGGTATTTTCACAAGTTTTGGCCCATTCAGCAATTTCACATCCTTTACCCCCTTTTTCTAGAACATTCTTTGCATTATTTCTAGTCTCAATCTTCATTCACCAGTAACATTTCACACTGGTCCTTCCAGTTTCCTGGGGCAACTTTATGAACATTCACTACATATTTGATTGACTGGGGCTCTTTATAATGGTGGATCACAATCCATTTAGTAGTTCATGACCAGGAATTTTAAATAAACAGAGTAGAATTAAACAGAAAAGGTAAGAAAACATCACATGCATTAAGATATTCTTTGCCAGCCTATTTCAGATGGAGGTGAGGGACGTGGGGGGGGGGCGGTGCTTGTGCATTTCTGCCATTTAAAAAGCTTTTCCCAATGTATTTCTCAGTCACAAAAGTATGGGAGCCACTGCTGTAAAGTTTTACTTCTTTTTGCAAACTTTTGTCATTGTGCTGTCAGGTTCCATTTTAGTTTCCCAGGCCACATGGCACTCTGTTCCCTTGTAGTCTGCCTTTCGAAGTCTGCCATCTCTTCTCCCATTCATCTCTGCATCTCTGGTTCTGTGCTCTGACTGCCCACTGGGCCAACATTGTGCTTCTGCAATACTGATCCCCACCAGGCCAGCCCTGCCTCAACAGTGGAATTTCTGAATGAATCAATGAATGAGTGAAAGCTCAGTAATAAATCATTAAAGTCTGTAGCATGTATGTAAGAGCTGTATGCAGTGTCCTCTTACCGCTAGTCTGTCCTTCTTCAGTGACACTAAATCTCCAAGAAGGCAAGTCAAGAATTCCTTAGCCCATGTTTAGAAAGTAAGATTCATAGTTGTTTCTGGAAATATATAATTTGTTCTAGAAATTATATTTATTATTTTGACCTCTGTGCTAAACTGTTGTGGGTTTTTAAGTACCTCCTCTTTGCTTTGGTCAGGCAGCCTGCTGGTCCCTCCTCTCATGTGTTCCTTTTTTCTTTGTCCTTCACCCAAAAATTCCTCCATGATGTCTATATTCTCAGATTTAAAAAGTTGATTGCTTGGTTGTATGTGTGCATGCACGTGTTTGTCTGGGCACACACATTTATGAAACACTTTTGTGTAGGCTGGCTTTGACTATGTTTTTCTGAAGTTTGGAACCCTTTAAACACATCTGCATTCGTAAGGACTACACCTAAAGGCAGGTGCCTGCACCAGGCAATGGAGCCTGTCTGGCTAGATCACAGGAGGCCCAAGGGTCAGTAACTCTAAGACACCACAGGCTAAATTGGAACTATGTTGCCATTTAATTCGACTTTCTACACAGGAGTCTCGACATGACTGATGAAATAGTTCCTACTCCTGCCAAAGTGCACAGAGCGTGGAGTGGACACACTGTGTCTCTTTTGTGTATCTGTCCACCTCTGTGCACTTGCCCAACTCAATGTCATGCCCCAAAGTCCCTGCTGGTCTTGTGCTGACCTTGGCACTGATTGTGGGGTTAGACTCCAGGCAAAGTACAGTTAAAGGAAATCTGTGGATTGCTCTACCTTTGCAACTTAATTTTAATTTTTAAACAGTACTTGTGTGTAATTTTCTCTTCTAGAAAACGACTTAATGCTTTCCGTGAAGTGACACCAGTGGAACTTCCTAACTGTAATTTTATTAAGGGAGTAGGTATGTATAAGAAGTGGAAAGAACTCATTTGACCTGCCAATATGTGATCTTACTATTTACTTCATAAACACATGTTTAATTTTGTTCAAAAATATATGCCAGGAGAGTATTATTGTCAATAATTAATTGTAAATATTGTACAGTTTGACTTTTGACTTCACCAAGATATTGACAATGTGTTGGCAGTTTTGATCACTTTTGTTTGGTCAATAGTGCAGAAACAACAGTTAGAAGAAGTTTTGATTTTATAGTAATATAACCAGGAGATGACAGAAGACCAAAGAAAGAGGAAGACGAAGTATCCAGGAAAGACTACCATTTTTTTTTCAAAGCTCTCATAGACCTTGCAATTACCACAAGATCTCTGCTCACAAAGGTTGGAAAGTTTTTCCTGGAAGCTGTCATTAGAGTTCCATTTAGATTTCACTAGTCAGAGCTGGATGACAGGCTGGCATCCTAGCTGCAAGGGAAGCTGGGAAAGTTAGCCTGGTCTTTATTGTAGAAGGCTGTTGACAACCAATGGAGTCCCAGAGTTAAACTCTCTCTTTTTTTTTTGTGATACCAGAGATCAAACTCAGCACCTTGAAACCCCCCATTTAGTTTCAACCAACCAGTCTTGTTATTTGAGGATAACTTGTTTGAGATATGTGCTCTTAATGTGTCTTGGGTGGGTAGTGTTTTTGTTTTAGAATTGTTTCTTAGTTGATTATGGTTCAGAGGCTAGACTAGAAGACTCATCTAGTCATTGTAAGATCAGAATTGTTTGAAAAGCATACATCTCCACTA